TAGATACCTCAAGAGATCGTTTGCATTGAGATACTCCTCTACACAAATGGAGGTGGGAGAGACAAATGTTCCTTTATTTTGCCCCTACCATAACTTCATTCACTTAAGAACACTTTTATTACTTAATAGGGAAAAAAAATTAAAATGTCTTAATGAACATCTAGTAATCAGGTTAGCTTATAAATTATATCTTCATAAATAAGAGTAAACAATCACATTGAAGGGGATTGCCCTAAGAGAAAAGCAAAGAAAAAGAATATTGCAAGTGGCAGCTTTCTATTTTTCTTTAAATTAAAATTTTTTATTTCTATTTGTTTTTTTAATTACCTTTATTTCTGAATGTGTCCTGGCTCCCTCTCCTCTAATAAGTGATCTGTCCTTTGTAACAAAGATTGTAAAAGAAAGAGGGGAAAAAAAGCAATTCCATGAAACTGACTGTCAGATTTAATGAGCCTGACAGCATATTCAGTGTTCTGTACCCATAATCCCTCACCTCTGCAAAGAAAGGAGGGAATATACTTTCTCATCTCTTATTAAGGGACAAACTTGGTCATTCTAATTACCTGATATTCAGTTTTTCTTATTTCTACTTCCATTTTTTGTGTTTTTTACACTTTTCACATTTGTTTCCTGGTTCTACTTATTTTACTTTGCTTATATTCATAGAAGTCTTCCCTGGGTGGAGTCATCATGTAGCTTGCTTCTTAGAGCAATTGCCATATATTAATTAAGCAAATGCTTCATGTGTAGTACATTGTTTCTTATACACTCTAAGCTTAATCCTAATTCTATTACATTCATATTCCACACTTTCTTACAATTCTTAATGCTTTTATCAGAGTTCTAAAATCTTATTAAATTAAAGCTATATTTGCAATTATTTTTATGTCAATATGAAGTTATATATGGAGAGAGTCATATTAGAGAGAAGTATAAGGACTTTGTTTTATTAGTAAATAAAAATATTTGCTATTGGATTTGTCATTAAAATTTTTAAACCATTAGTGAGGGTTAATTAGAATCTGGTCAAAACTTAGTAACATTCAAAATTCTTTCTTTGAATTCTAATATTTTATTTTTTCCCAATTACATGTAAAAACAATTTAAACCTTTGTTTTTCACAATTTTGAGTCCCAAATTCTCTCCCACACTCACTCTCTTCCCCCACCAGTGAGAAAACAAGTAATTTGATAAAGGTTATACATGTGCAGTCATGCAAAACCTGTTTCCATATTAGTCATGTTGTGAAAGAAAACGGAGACACAAAAATCCAAGAAAAATAAAGAAAATAAAATAACAATCTGCTTCAGTCTGAATTCAGATTCCATCAGTTCTTTCTCTGGAGGTAGATAGCATTTTTCATCATAGGTCCTTCAGAACTGTCTTGAATCTTTGCATTGCTGAAAATAGCTAAGTCATTCACAGTTGATCATTGTACAATATTGCTGTTACTGTGTACAATGTTCTCTTGGTTGTGCTCACTTCACTTTGTGTCAGTTCATATAAGTCTTTCCAGGTTTTTTAAAATGCTTTCTAAAATAGTAGACATAATAGTAATCTAAAAATGTCTAATTTTTATATATTTTTAGACCATACATTTTTAAGAGTTGAGATTCATTAAACATATGTAACTCTTATTTTTGAAATGATGGAACCTGTAACTTTCATCTACAACTATCGTTTACATCAAGGTACCGTGGAAACATTAGACTTTTATTGTCAGAAGACACAAATCAAGTTCTAATTTTAATACATGTAAACTGTGTGACTTTTGGTCTTAAGTCCATTTGCAAAAAATTCAGCTCAATGGTGCACTCAATGTTTGTTGCTTGCTTGAGGGGCAGAGTTGAGAGCTCAGGAGAAGAAAGACCCTTGGTCTTCTGAGTTCACTTCACTCAGAATTAATTCTCCACCAGTGAGGAGAGTCTTATGCAAATGGAATTGAACTCCGGGTTACAATAGTATTTTAGTGAACTTCCAATGTTATTATAAGATATTTATCTTTTAAAATGATAAAACATTGTAAAATTGGAGGATGATAGAGTTCTTTACTGAAATGCTTAATTAAGTTGGTTTTAGCTCCCAACTCTAACAAAGAGGATAAGTAGTGATTTGGATTTTACTAAGTACTTTATTGAGCTATTAGCATAGCTTCAGTCAAAAGGAACTCTCCTATTAAGCATGGACAGTCCAACTAAAGCTGTGGTACAACAAATTTGCTGGGCAGCATAGCCTGAGTCCCATTCCACACCCTCCTTTTCCTCTGCCTTTCTGAATCCTTTATGTATCTTCTCATCTTTTTCTCTTGAAGGCGTTAGTCTTCTCTATCTGTCTTCAAATGTCATTCATACCACCTTCCCAGAAGACTTACTTTAGTTGTTGTTAGCTTTAATCTAAATGGCCTTGCCCATGTCCAGTTCATCATTACTCTCTGTTACCAGGGTGATGTCTCTAATATACCTACTCATGCTGATTCATCCTAGATTCATGCTCAGTTCAAACTGTGGGTTTGGCTAATTTCTTCTTGCTGGTGGTGGAACTGCTTCCTTTTTCAGGGATTGAGGTTCCTTGTGCTTTTCATTTCTGGATATAACGTCCCAAATTCCAGGTGTGGAGGATGTTTTGTGTGTTCTCACTCTAGAATCAGTCAGTCAACATTTTAAAGTGCCTACTATGTGCTAGGCACAGTGCTAAGCACTGGGGATATAAAGAAAGGCCAAAATAGTCCCTGCCCCAAGCAACCCACATCTGAATGGGGGATACTACATGTAAATGAATAGGCAGATACAATTGCACTCAGAGTAGACTGAAGGTAACTTTAGGGGGTAGGGACTAATTTTGTTGGGTGTGGCATGGTGACAGGGAAAGGCCTTATACACAAGATAGGCTTTGAGCTGAGTCCTGAAAGAGGTCAAGGATTCCAAGAGGCTGAGAGTGAGGAGAGAGAGAGAGCACATGGGTGACAACCAGTGAAAAGGCATGCAGATCAGAGATGGAGTGTTAGGTGAGAAGGAACAGCAAGCATGTCAGTATGACTAGATTGTAGACTGCATAGGGAGGAAGAGAAGGAACAAATATTTCTTAAGTGCCTACTATGTGCACTTCATTTTGGCTTGACAATAACCCTGTGAGATAGGTGCTATTATCATCCCCATTTTTCCCCCCTTTTGCTTCTAGGTTCCTTGGTATAACACAGTTCTCTCCGACACATATGAGAAAGGCCTTTCCCTGTTTTGATGAACCCATCTGTAAGACGACTTTTAAAATCAGTATTAAGCATTAAGCCACATATTTGTCTTTACCTAATATGCCAGCAGAAATTTCGGTTTTTTGAGGATCGCTTTTCACAGACTCCTATTACTTAGCCTGGGTCATGTACAACTTCACCTTTCAGGAGATGGTCACAAAGAGTGGAGTTGTAGGAAGGAATTTGAGTCAGATAAAAATTAAGTGACTTGCCCAGGGTCACACATGTAAGGGAGGGAGATATAAGAAAACTGGAATAGTAGGATGGTTGTGATGAGCTTTACTTTTTAATAGTATTTTATTTCATTTTTCCAATTACATGTAAAGAGAGTTTTCAATGTTCATTTTTTATAAGATTTTGAGTTCCAAAATTTTCTCCCTCCCCTCCCTTTTCCCCAACACAGCAAGCAATCTGATATAGGTTATACATGTGCAATCATGCTAAACACATTTCCATATTAGTTGTGTTGTGAAAGAAGAAACAGAACAAAAAAGAAAAACTATGGCAAAAAAGTGAAAATAGTATGCTTTGATCTTTATTCAGACTCCATAGTTCTTTCTCTGGATGTGGATAGCATTTTCCATCATGAGTCCCTTGAAATTGTCTTAGCATCGGTGTATTGCTGAGAAGAGCTAAGTCTGTCAAAGTTGGTCATCACACAATGTTGCCGTTACAATGTTCTCCTGGTTCTGCTCACTTCACTCAGCATCACTTGTGATGAGCTTTAAATACCATGTAAGCTCCTGAGGGCAAAGACAGTGAACTCTCTTCAACCCCAGAACCAAGCACAGTGCCTTGCACAGAGTCAGAACTTAATATATGTTAATTGAATATCACTGTCAATAGAAGAAGAGGAAATTGAGGTAAAGAGAAAGGAAGTGACTGATCCAGGGTCACACGAATAGCAAGTATTTTGGGGACTTAAATCCAAGTGCTCGAGACTCTAGTGTTGGTTCCACTAATCTGTGTTGCTTCTTTATATGTCTATTTAAATAGGAATGAAATGCACTATGACCTAGTGACTTAAATGTGATTGATATCATAGGTAGGAAACATCACCTCTGGAGCAATCAACACAGATGAGTTCTTTTTTTTTTTTGGGGGGGGGGTGGGGAGACAAATGAAGTTAAGTGACTTACCCAGGGTCACATAGCTAGTAAGGGTCTGAGTCTGGATTTGAATTCAGTTCCTCCTGACTGCAGGGCTGGTGCTCTATTTACTATGCCAACTAGCTGCTGGCTACTACAGATGAGTTCTAAAGTCCAATGAAAGTCCATTTTTTATTTTTTGTGCAGGGGTGACCATTGCAATATACATTTATCTGAAGACTTTTCTTTAGTGTTTTAAGTTATGGGTCTGATATCATTTCGCTTTTGTTTTTTCTTCACATATTCTGTTGCTGAGGCAGAAAATGAGCATTGATACAAGAAAGATTAGTTATTTTCCATTATTTGCCAACGTGATACCAATGAGCTTATTTTTTTTGTAATGTTTTATTGTCCATATATTGCTCTGGGTTGTGAGTTTACTCTAATTGAGACAAAAACTACCCAGAGGAACTTTTATTGTTGGAAAAAATGCATTATATATGAAATGTGCTTTCTTGCTGCTTATGCATTTTAGTTTGGTTTGGGAAAAGAAGAACTTTGCATATCTGGCAAAAATGTTTTATTTTAGGAACAGCCATACCTAATGCACCCATAACTCAAGGTGTAAATGCAATGGGTGATTTTTTTTTTCCTTTTGCTTCTAGGTTCCTTGGTGTAACACAGTTCTCTCCGACACATGCAAGAAAGGCCTTTCCCTGTTTTGATGAACCCATCTACAAGGCGACTTTTAAAATCAGTATTAAGCATCAAGCCACATATTTGTCTTTATCTAATATGCCAGTAGAAACTTCAGTTTTTGAGGAAGACGGATGGGTAACAGATCATTTTTCACAGACCCCGCTCATGTCCACCTATTACTTAGCCTGGGCTGTGTGCAACTTTACTTTTCGGGAGATGGTCACAAAGAGTGGAGTCATAGTAAGTATTTTTCACTTGGCCAGAGTTCTCTGAAAGTTACCAGCTTACCTCTGAAATGCGATTTTTGTATTTATTCATTCATTTGCATCTTTTCCATTAGGAGCCTCAATCTATTTGCCTCTCAAATGAGATATTTGTGAAGTGCTTAGCACAGTGCCTGGCTCATAGTAGGTGCTTAAGAAATGTTCCATTCTCTTTTCCCTTCCCCCCCACCTTTCTAAGGAGTATAACCTCTCATTTCTGAGGGGGAAAATACTCTCTGTAAACCTTGAATGCATTGAAACACGGTGAGGGGTTCTAGGAGACTTAAGAAGCCAGGAACCCCTCTGCTACTAGTTCTAGGCTACTGGTTCTTCTGTGTTCCAGGGGTGGGGAGTCTGCAGCCTAGAGGTCACATGTGGCCTTCTAGGTCATTGGGTACAGCCTTTTGGCTGAGTGTAAATTTTACAGGACAAATCCTTTTATGATGGGGATTTTTTCTGTGAAGTTTGGATTCAGTCAAAGGCCACACTTAAGGACCTAGATGGCCACATGTGGCCTTGAGGCTGCAGGTTGCCGACTCTGACAGCTTGGGACATTTTAACAAAGAACTTTTATATATAAAGCTGTTTTTCTTTTTCTTTTTCTTTTTTTTTTTAGGCAGTTGGGGTTAAGTGACTTGCCCAGGGTCACACAGCTAGGAAGTGTTAAGTGGTTTGAGGCCAGATTTGAACTCAGGTCCTCCTGACTTCAGGACTGGTGCTCTATCCACTACACCACCTAGCTGCCCCATATAAAGCTGTTTTTGTCATATGCATTCAATTCCATTCAAATAAATTCAACAAATGTTTATTGAGTGCTTACTGTATGCAAATGCCTTCCTAAGTGTTGAAAGCAAGGGAACTGGCAGAAAATGATTCTTGTCCTCCAAGTATAAAAGTCTTGTCTATGCCAACAAATGTTTGCTTGAACTCGGGGAAAAACTGGCTTGCAAATACTAACAGTGACTGTTATTTTTATGTGAAATACAGAATGAGCAAGAGATTTGGCCCAATTCATTATTTCTGGTTTCTCTTAATTTAGAATACTGTGGAAATTATTAGAAAAATCTGCCTGTAGCCCAGCCTGAAGTGAAAATGAAATATACGAGAGTAAACCATGAGTTCGTCTGGTATGGAATCATTCAATCTGCGTCCTAATTGCTATGTATAGTGGTTGTAGAGGAGTAGCTGGCATTTTATTTCCATAGAGTTAGAGTGTAATTATTTGCAATGTCAAATTTCTTCTTTGGTATTTGTTGATCCTCTTCCATTGGATATTTTAGTGCTTGCACTTACTGGACCATGCCCAGAGAAGGAGCAATTTCCTTCTACCATCCTAAAATACCTACGATTACCTTGGTATGTTATCGGCTAGCAGAGGGATGAGGAAATGCAATTTCATTTCCTAAGCTAGTTTCTTCAAAGTGTGAATATGTCCTCAGCCCCACACAATTATGCCTGTTGCTAAGTGACCCGTGTGTAAAGTCAGAAACACTATAATTATTTTATATGTAATTTTTTCCTATAACCACTCATCATTCTAGTGGTTAATAAATATTTTTAAGTTTCCATTTAATGTGTTTTTTTAAGGTATAAAAATATAAATCATGTTACTGCATAACATTCAAAGGTCAACTGGGATAAGTTCATAGATTCGATAATATTGGGGAATTTTAAAAAAGATGAGTATATATACTATAATGAATATACATATATAATGAATTCTAAATTCTGCCACAGGAAATATTCCAGTGTCAATTATGGGAAAATAAGTTGGGTAGTAGCATTGAAAGGAATCTTTAAGAATAACTAATCCAAATCTATTCTTTTTTATGGCTAAAGAAGTGAAGTTCTAGAGAGATGAAGTGATTTGCTGAAAGTGACACAGTCAATAAGCATGTATTAAGTGAATACTGTGTGTCAGGTAGGGCGGCTAAGTGGCACAGTGGATAAAGCACTGGGCCTGGAGTCAGGAGGACCTGAGTTCAAATTTGGCTGAAGACACTTACTAGCTGTGTGACCCTGGGCCAGTTGCTTAACCCTGCTTGCCTCAGTTTCCTTATCTGTAAAGTGACTTGGAGAAGGAAATAGCAAACTACTCCAGTATCTTTGCCAAGAAAACCTCACATGGCGTCATGAAGAGTCAGACACAACTGATCAGATTGAACAATGTCAAAAATATATCAGGCATTGTGCTAAGTGCTGAGGATATAATGAATGGCAAAGACAGCCCCTGCCCTCAAGGAGCTCACGTTCTAATGGCTGGGATACACAGGCTATATGTAACGTGAATAGGACTAGCAAAAGTAAGAGGGGAGGTCAAGGAAAGGCCCCCTGGAGAGGATGGGGTTTGCGATGTCTTGAAGACGTTAGGGAAGCCAGGAGGTGGAGCAGAAGAAGGCCTGGTGGAGAGAGGGAGCGTCAAATGTGTGGAACAGCTAGGAGACCCCTGCTGTTGGATCATAGAGTACTTTGGTGGAATACAGTGTAAGAAGACTGGAAAGATAGGAGGCAGCCGGATTGTGAAGGTCTTTAAAAGCCGAACAGATGATTTTATGTTGGATCCTGAAGGTAGTTAGAGTTTATTAAATAGGGAGGCGGTAACATAGTCAGACCTATGCTTTAGGAAAATCACTTTTTTAATTACATAATGATTACACGTTAAAGTCAGAACTAAAACCCAGTTCTCCTGACTCCAAATTCATTCTTTCTTCTTCTTCTTCTTCTTCTTCTTCTTCTTCTTCTTCTTCTTCTT